CTCACCAGCCCCATGCCCACCGCAGGTTGCCCTCTGTTTGTGGGGTGACCGATGAGGTGGGGGCCTTGGTCTGGTGCCACCCGCATACCCTGCCACCACCCCACCCCCTCCCCAGGTCCCTGTTCGCCATCAGGTGATGGGAGCCTGCTGGCTGGGAAAAAGGACCGAGAGTTGGTCAGTGCATAGTGACTGGTTGAGCAGTCGCTCTGGTTGTTCTGCTATTATGGTTGCTGGGCTTTTATTATATAGGATTTTTAAAAAATCATATAGCACTGAATTTGCTTAGGTGTGTTATAATTACATCTGACTGTCTTCCCCACTATATTGGGATTTAATTCAGAGTAGGGAGAATTACCTTTATAAGATTTCCAATACATGGTACAATATTTATTATTTCAGAAGTATTCACTAAATGGTAGTTGAATCAAGAAAATAATGAATGAAGAAGTTTAATGACTCATCAGGATTTCTCCATTTTTTAATCTTCTTTGAGGTCATGTAAGTTTTATTGTTTGTATAGGAAGTGTCAGGAATTTATATGCATAGTTTCCCTTTTGAGTTGACTGACATTGTCAAGGTCTTCTATATTTACTAGAGGCCTGGTGCATGACATTCATGCACTGGAGGGGGGGTCCCTCGTAATTATATATGTGTTTTCCGATGGTCTTAGGCGACCCCTGTGAAAGGGTCGCTCGATCCCCAAAGGAGTCGCAACCCACAGGTTGAGAACCGCTGCCTTAGGGGATGTCTGCCTGCTGGCTTAGGCCCATTCCCCATGGGGAGCTGGCCTAAGCTGGGAGGCAGACATCCCCCGAGGGGTCCTTAGCGCTGCCATGGAGGCAGGAGAGGCTCCCACCACCACCACCACTGTGCTCGCCAGCCATTTGCCAGCCATGAACCCAGCTTCTGGCTCAGTGGCACTTCCCCTGTGGGAGTGCACTGACCACCAGGGGGCAGCTCCTGCCTTGAGCATCTGCCCCCTGGTGATCAGTGCGTATAATAGCAACTGGTTGTTCCACCGTTTGGTGGATTTGCATATTAGCCTTTTATTATATAGGATAGTAAAAAGAACACTGGAGTTATCATACAAATACTTGTGTTTAAATTTTGCTTCACTGCTCACATGCTGTGAAAATTATCTATCTTCCCTGAGCCTTCATTTAGTCATCTCTAAATCGGGTTAGTAACATCTCCATAATTGCTATTTCACAGTCATTTTTCTCCCTTTATTCAGAAACTCTTGAAATCTCCCATAATCTTAAACTGCCGAGTTTATATAGTAAGGAAAAAAAAAAGCTTGAAGTATGTCGTGATGCTTTTAAAACAAATTCCCTGTAAACCTTGTTACCCTGCAGCTGCCACAGTCATAAAATCAGTGGCCTTTATTGCTTTAGGTGTGGGGTGGATACAGTCTATTCTAGAACAAATGTGTCATTGTGCATTTGTTACCAAAGTTTTTACACAAGCTGTGATTTGTTGAAAATGCTAAAGCTGCCATTTACATATTGAGAAGAAAGCCTGAGGATATAAGACTAAAGCTTATAAAAGTGGGACCTAACCACATCCATTCCCCCACCCCTCCCCCCTTCAGTGGTGCAAATAATGCTTGATGAGAGATTGGAAATAGGAACAAAAAGGACGTTGATCTAAAAAGAAAACAAGAAGGTTAAGGAAGGAGATGAGAGCTAAAGAGGCCTTGTCAACATCCCTCCCCCCAGCTCAGAGGAAATGCTTCTGGGAGTCTAAACCACCTTGGTGTGGGCAGTAGAGTTGAAAGGGCCTGTTGAGAAATGGCCATTCTACTCACCTCTCCTCCAGGTACCTCACGTCTTAGAATTGGCTCAGACGTTCTGGTGGGGCAGAGATACTGAACTGAGCTTTCAGTAGGAGTCAGCACACCTTCTAAGGGGCCCAGTGCCGCAGAGAAGGGAAATCTGGCAGAGACTGCGCCTCTCCACCTGGGGTCCCAGCTGCACACAGACAGGTCTCTGAGATGAGGATTGAGGAGTGAGCGCTGAGATGGAGAGTCTGGTCAATCAGGGAAGACAGACAGAAGCAAGCATTGCCTCATGCCTATGCTGAAAGGACCATCCCAAACTCTTCAGAACAGGTATAGTGAAGGTAGAGACCGAAACCCAAGGAGAAGGCTGGATTCGGTTTGTCTTACTCAGGATGTAGCAGCCCACCCAGGAAGGGCACTAATGGAAGCAGATGCTCCGCTCCCACCACTACAATATTGCACAAACTTCTTGAGGAGATGCCAGTCTGTTAGGAGAAGGGGGAAGGGAGAGAAAACCCAGGAAGAGTAAAAATGTACCCCAAACTGACTATTTAATGAAGAACCTGAGTCATAACAAATGAACAAGCTTTACATTTTTTGTTTTGTTTTGCTTTTTATACCAAGTGAGAATGAAGACTTTTGAGCAAGATGAGGTCAGTTATGTGATGGGAAACACAATTTTTTTTAATCCTCACCTGAGGATATTTTTTCAATTGATTTGTTTTTTGAATGGAGGGGAGGGAGGAAGGAGAGAGAAAGAATCATGGATGTGAGAGAGACAGACTGACTGGTTGCCTCTGGCACTCATCCCGACTGAGGTCGGGGACCGAGCCTGCAACAAAGGTACGTGCCCTTGACCAGGAATCAAACCCATGATTCTTTGGTCCCTGGGCTGATACTCTAATCACTGAATTTAATCTGGCCAGGGCTGGAAACACAGGTTTTTGTTTTTGTTTTTTTAATTAAATTTTGCACATCAACCCACAGGTTGAGAACCGCTGCCTTAGGGGATGTCTGCCTGCTGGCTTAGGCCCATTCCCCATGGGGAGCTGGCCTAAGCTGGGAGGCAGACATCCCCCGAGGGGTCCTTAGCGCTGCCATGGAGGCAGGAGAGGCTCCCACCACCACCACCACTGTGCTCGCCAGCCATTTGCCAGCCATGAACCCAGCTTCTGGCTCAGTGGCACTTCCCCTGTGGGAGTGCACTGACCACCAGGGGGCAGCTCCTGCCTTGAGCATCTGCCCCCTGGTGATCAGTGCGTATAATAGCAACTGGTTGTTCCACCGTTTGGTGGATTTGCATATTAGCCTTTTATTATATAGGATAGTAAAAAGAACACTGGAGTTATCATACAAATACTTGTGTTTAAATTTTGCTTCACTGCTCACATGCTGTGAAAATTATCTATCTTCCCTGAGCCTTCATTTAGTCATCTCTAAATCGGGTTAGTAACATCTCCATAATTGCTATTTCACAGTCATTTTTCTCCCTTTATTCAGAAACTCTTGAAATCTCCCATAATCTTAAACTGCCGAGTTTATATAGTAAGGAAAAAAAAAAGCTTGAAGTATGTCGTGATGCTTTTAAAACAAATTCCCTGTAAACCTTGTTACCCTGCAGCTGCCACAGTCATAAAATCAGTGGCCTTTATTGCTTTAGGTGTGGGGTGGATACAGTCTATTCTAGAACAAATGTGTCATTGTGCATTTGTTACCAAAGTTTTTACACAAGCTGTGATTTGTTGAAAATGCTAAAGCTGCCATTTACATATTGAGAAGAAAGCCTGAGGATATAAGACTAAAGCTTATAAAAGTGGGACCTAACCACATCCATTCCCCCACCCCTCCCCCCTTCAGTGGTGCAAATAATGCTTGATGAGAGATTGGAAATAGGAACAAAAAGGACGTTGATCTAAAAAGAAAACAAGAAGGTTAAGGAAGGAGATGAGAGCTAAAGAGGCCTTGTCAACATCCCTCCCCCCAGCTCAGAGGAAATGCTTCTGGGAGTCTAAACCACCTTGGTGTGGGCAGTAGAGTTGAAAGGGCCTGTTGAGAAATGGCCATTCTACTCACCTCTCCTCCAGGTACCTCACGTCTTAGAATTGGCTCAGACGTTCTGGTGGGGCAGAGATACTGAACTGAGCTTTCAGTAGGAGTCAGCACACCTTCTAGGGGTCCCAGTGCCGCAGAGAAGGGAAATCTGGCAGAGACTGCGCCTCTCCACCTGGGTTCCCAGCTGCACACAGACAGGTCTCTGAGATGAGGATTGAGGAGTGAGCGCTGAGATGGAGAGTCTGGTCAATCAGGGAAGACAGACAGAAGCAAGCATTGCCCCATGCCTATGCTGAAAGGACCATCCCAAACTCTTCAGAACAGGTATAGTGAAGGTAGAGACCGAAACCCAAGGAGAAGGCTGGATTCGGTTTGTCTTACTCAGGATGTAGCAGCCCACCCAGGAAGGGCACTAATGGAAGCAGATGCTCCGCTCCCACCACTACAATATCGCACAAACTTCTTGAGGAGATGCCAGTCTGTTAGGAGAAGGGGGAAGGGAGAGAAAACCCAGGAAGAGTAAAAATGTACCCCAAACTGACTATTTAATGAAGAACCTGAGTCATAACAAATGAACAAGCTTTACATTTTTTGTTTTGTTTTGCTTTTTATACCAAGTGAGAATGAAGACTTTTGAGCAAGATGAGGTCAGTTATGTGATGGGAAACACAATTTTTTTTAATCCTCACCTGAGGATATTTTTTCAATTGATTTGTTTTTTGAATGGAGGGGAGGGAGGAAGGAGAGAGAAAGAATCATGGATGTGAGAGAGACAGACTGACTGGTTGCCTCTGGCACTCATCCCGACTGAGGTCGGGGACCGAGCCTGCAACAAAGGTACGTGCCCTTGACCAGGAATCAAACCCATGATTCTTTGGTCCCTGGGCTGATACTCTAATCACTGAATTTAATCTGGCCAGGGCTGGAAACACAGGTTTTTGTTTTTGTTTTTTTAATTAAATTTTGCACATCTGTGTTATAATGAGTAAATTTCAAATCAGCCCCACTAGTTTGCCTGTATCTTTGTTTATAACTTATATATGTATAGTGTTCTCATTTATAGTTTATCAGTTTGTAATATTTTGTTGGGTACAGAATGCTTTTACATATACCCTCTCTGTTTCTTCCCATAACATTGTAAGGTAATGTCAATATTATTATGTTTCAGGTGAGGACATCGAAGATTTGTTCAGGACCAGGTAGCTGATGAGAGAGAGAGAAGAAAGAGCCCAACTGTCAGCCCAGGACCTCCTCCTCCTTGCTCAGGAGCCACCACACATGCAACTCTATGGGGCCTCACTTTGTTTCTCTCTGGAACTCTCTACTCTTTTTGCAGATTATTTGTTAGGACCTCTTACACAATTTTCTTTTTAATTTAAGGCCATGTTGCCATGAAGCTTTGTCGTGATATATTTAAATAAAATAATCTTTTGTTATCTAGCATGCAACTGATTCTTTTGATTTTGTTGTTTTAGACAAAATCTCAGCAGAACAGTCTGTCTAGGTAATAGTTTATGAGTACATCTGGGCAAAACAAAACGACCTATGGAAAATGCATTCTAATCATGTCAGATCTAGGAAAAATGTAAAAAAAAGAGAAGAAAAGCGAGTCAATATTTTATACATTCAAGGTCAATATTCTATGTCATTGTCAATAATGTATGAGTTCCAAAGGATTTGTGTCACTATTAAATTAGAAATGATTCACTCTTATTTGATGTATAGTGGATTTAGCCATATAATGGACAGAAATAAAGAGAATACAAAAGATAGAAAGCAGACATATTTTGTAAGATAATTGCAAACCTTTTATGAGCTTCAATACAAAGTAATAGAGACTATCTCATCTTCTTTGCTATTCATTCACCTCTAGCATTAGTGAATTTATGGCTTGTATTTTTAACTCTGACCTAGATCCCTGAAGTGCTGCATGTCTTTGCCCTGCTTCAGCAGGCACGTTTCAGGAGAGTGACTGTATGTTATATGTTACATATCTATAACCCAGATTTAGATAGATGGGTGCTATTAGAATTGAAAGAGAAATTATAATTTGATGTTCAAGAATATCCTCCTTTTGAGTATGTTTGTGTATTGTATGTCACATTTCATTGTTAGCTTTTGATTCTCAATATTCTATTTAGTTTGCTGAGCTATTGGTCATGATTATAGAAATCAATATATAGGTATTTCATTGGTAATATATTTTGTAACTAGTCAGGCGTATGGATAACCCAATTTGTGTGTTTCTTTGAGAGGTACACATCAAAGCAGGTTTCTCCTTCTTGCGTAGGAATTTTTTTCTATTTTCCATCAAAGTTCATTGGACCATGCAGTACCACCACCAGTCATACAGCTTACTATTGAAATAATTTCTTCTAGGATGTTAAGAGAGCATGTTGTTCCTTTTATGTAATGTTTACTTTCAAAGTCGGACCAAATTAGCCATTAGAGGGTTATAAATTAATGTCTTAAATTTCTTTGGCATTCTTTTTATATTCATACTAGTAGCCCTGAGCACAAATCCATGTGCGAGTAGCTTGCTGCTGCTTGCCTCAGCTGGCCACCCACCCACCGCTGCTGGTAGCTCTTGGCTGCTTGTAGCTCACTGCCACGTCCTCCTGTAGCTCTCTGCCCGCTGCCC